AGTAGTAACAGTTTTTATTTTTTTGAATTTTGGATTGTGTCGTTATTGCACAGGGCCGTCGATATGTTTGTGTACATGTATACGTTACCGGCAAACCCCGATCTTAGGACAAACTAGTTTTGCCTAGGCTAAACTAGACCAGACGCCACCGTATTTTTGAGCAGAATTTCTTTCCGCAGAAGCGGCCCTCCGCCGTACTTCAAAAAAATAACCCTCATCAGTTCACCTCCAGCTACGCAGCCCAAAATATTGCTGCGTCCAAATTTATTCCGCGTTGGATGGATGTATCGATCTACTTAGAACTAGTGTAGCCTAGGAAAAACTAGTTTGTCCTAAGATCGGGTTTGGCCGGTAGCATATATGTATATGCACATATGTAGTACAAACGAAAACAAATCTAATTAGAGCTAGCAACGCTGCTCGTTGATATCAATGCGAATTGTAATGATTGTCAAAAATAATGCAAGAGCAACTGTTAGCAAAAACCAAAAACTTGGTTGAAATATCTAATATATCTGACTCATGAACCAAAACCAAACCAAAATTTTAAGGTGGGTACAAATTTTTAAAGACTACTGTGAGCAAAAAATTTATCGATTCGAGAAATTAATGCGCTGAAGAGAAACCGAAAATTCGTGTATCGAGACGATAAAGTGGCCGGTAATCTAAAGGTTAGATGAGAAAACGGCCCTTAAAGGGACTTCGTTTCGGCTGTTATGAAAGAATTAAGTAAAAAAAATCATTTGATGTAGGTATATCAAAATAAAAGGCAAATGGCAAGCCGCCGATCGTTCTACTACTAAGTTTTTATGAAACTGGCTAGCGGGTGTAAGTCTATTTGACGAAGAAAAGCCTAGTACGTCAACCAATCGAACTGGAGAGAGACCAACAAAATACATAGACGAGTGCTCGACTTTCACAAGAAAAAGGAAGCTAGCAGATGCTGCTGAAATTATAGCCACAATACAAAAAAGACGATAAAAAAACGAATGATGATTTCGTTTCTTCCAAAAAAGTCACCTTTTGATTGCCACTTTCACTTTTCGTGTTCGATTCTTAATTAAAAGCAAAGGGTGAAAAATGCTGTGTTTGTTTCTTGAAATGCCACACTCTTGTAAGACAAAAAGGCACATTCTCTGCCCTTTGAAGTTTTTTTCAGGGGAGATGGTTGTCCTGAAAATCAGATAGTTGATTAAAACGACAATATTATGAAATACGTGTGCGGGTTGAGTGTAAAAGCATAAACAGGTAGTGATAGAACTTTATAGAAAAGTATCGATACTAGTACTCATATAGAATACTCTAAAAAAGAATCGATGCCAGTACTCATATCTGCAAAAAAGTATCGATAATACTCGTACTTCCAAGTATTCTCAAAGCAAACAAAAATCAGATTGCCTTGCTTTTTTGATCTCTTCCTATTTGTAAATTGAATAGTCACTGCTTTTAATAGTTTTAATCTGATCTAAAGGAGTTTTTGAAATAAACTCTCAATAAGTTTAGTTTAACGTGCGTAAATTAAATGTTTATAGCAAAATGCTTAAATATTCACGTTTTTAACAGCACGCGGTCAAGCCCATTCTCTAAGGGAAAGATAAGCTCTCTTTCATAAAAAATTTCCTTCAAGAATGGGCTAGATCAGAGTTGGCCAGCAAGAGCTTCCATTTGGTGCCTGCCCTACATAAATAGTACAGAGAGCTTTTGAAAGCTTTGGCACGCGTGCCTATGAAGTGGCCAACTGTCGGCTAGATTTCGAATTCACAACGAAGGTATAATACATGGGTTACGACGGCTGCTTTATGCTGGAGAGTGCGCAAGTTGTCGAGTCGGAAGAACATCCTCTTCCACCATTCATTACACTGTACAGCACTCGGCTGAGTATTGGACCAAACCAACTTTTTTTAAGAGACTGAGTCATAAGTAAAAAAAAAGTAAGTTCTCCGTTTTTCGAAGTTAGCCTCCAAAATCGAGACATGGGCCTTCGAAGTTCGAAATTGGACCTTTGGTAAAAAATTAATTTTAATTATTGCATGTAAAAAGCAAAAAAAAAAGTAAAAATACAGACGTGGTCCGCCTTATTCTCTTATTTATATCGTATATAACTTTTTTTGTATAAATTGTATTACAGGTGCTATAACGGGTCAAAGGTGAGATCTAAGAAAAATTAAAAACTTAATATTTCAGAAAATTTTAAACTGGGCATGAATCACGTATGACGACGATCTTCTGATCGATATCGTGTCGAGATTGTGTTGCTTCATGAAAACCAAAAATTGTTTGATCGTTTGTGCGATATCGTCAACTCGATTCCAGTTTTGCTTCACGAAACAGTAATACTAACACGTAACAGCAACACAAATGCATAAATCAGTGTTTTTACGAGGTCTTTTTGTCAGTATCGTTTGAACGACTATCGTTTCAAAGTTACGTGATTCATGCCCTGATTTTCAAAAGATTCAAATCGTTGTAAAGATGATTTAACCCCCTTTCTTGTGATATGCATATCTGTATACTTCGTATATAAAAATTTGAGAAGAAAAAAAAAACACTTGAAAGGTAAAAATACCAATTTTTTCTTATAAAAAAATTTTACAAAAAAATTACTAATTAGTAATACAATTGAATACCGTATTTAAATAAAGCAAATAATCTATAGTGTTTTAAGCTTTAATTCGTTCTTGTTCACCCACAGCCCTATTAAAAATAAAGCAAAACTTTATGTAACAGAAGTCCAAGGCATAAAAAATATAAGAACACCATGGTTTTTGATTTTTTACATAACAGTTTATACATATATAAAAACTAAAGATAAATTTCTGTTTTATTTAAATAAAGTATTCAATTGTATTACTAATTAGTATATTTTTTTTGTTCAAAATATTTTTTATAGGAAAAAAATGGTACTTTTTCCTTTTAAATGTTTTTGTAAAATTTTTATATACGAAGTATAAAAATATGCATATCAGACGAAAGGGTGTTTAATCGCCTTTACAACGGTACCAATTGTTTAAATATCGGTTGGTAATTTTTTTGTTCAAAATATTTTTTTTAAGTTTTTTTT